AAGGCTCAAGCTCTGTCTAAGCCCTGACATTTAAACATGAGCATGTGGACATGGTGGACGGTTAAAAATTCTAAGAGTCTATTTCTAAAGGGACCAGGAAAAGATTCATCACATTGGGCATATGGAAGAGTTTGTCTGGATCCTAACACAATATTTGGCAGAATTAAATAAAGGGTGTGAATAAGCAGAAAGATCATTTAATTTCAAGGGTTTTATTTTTTATTTTTTCTCATTAGTTTTATTCTTAGTTTGAAAAGAAAACCTACCCATGGTTTACATGTGAGTTTGATTGGACACATGTTCTCAGGGAGCAAGCTGCATACCAGTAGAACCATGTTCATTATCATACATGAAATAAGACAAGGGGATCAAAATGAACTAAAGGATTGATAATATCACATAGTGCTATCCTTTTTTTTTAGCATGTTTTGAGCATATGGATATATTTAAAGGTTTCCTTTATGTTGGATAATATGAAAGACAGATCCAATTGATTTTATATAATACGCTATTTCAAAGTAATGAATTAGCTGAACTGATGCTTTCTTGCAAAATAAATAATTCTGAAAGAAAATAGAGCTTTATTCTTTAATTCTCCTCCCTTTTCAATTAATTAGACTTTGTTGGTGAAAGGAAGTTAAGAAATTCAGTATAAGTCTGATTATATCATGAATGTAAAATGAGCAGGGCAAATAATGGGCTCTATACTCTTTTAAACAAGTTAAATAAGTCCATAATAGCCCACCAGTTGTGTAAACACTATTTCACTATACTTGTAAAAGAAATATTGACTTACCTGTTAACTAAAATTATCCTGGCATGCTTCAACTAAGCTTATTAGTAATTCTTGTGGTGTACATGAATGTTTGTAGATTTGGACTTTTATCAAAGATTAAAGAATTAGGAAATCATCCGTTTAGCAAGCCCAGAAAGTAGACACGTACCAGACTGCCCTTTACCAGAATTGATTTTAGAAACTTGTAAACTAAGAGTCTAAGAAGTAAAAAGTGATTTAAATCCTGGCATGAGATATTCCATTACACAACAGCTCATTAACACCAAGATACCTTCCAAAATCATACATAAGAATATCTCAACTAGACAAAAGACTAAATGAATCTTCTTTAGCCTATTAACCTTGCTATCACATGTAAGGGTGTTGTTTACCTCTGACACCTTAGTATATATTCTTGTGAATAACTGGTTGGTGAAATTAGAAATATATACATTTAAGAGGAAAAAGGTTTCAATATATTTATCCCTATTGTTCAGATTTTTTAAAATATCACCATCCTTTCCCCAACTGGTTCCACGACAGTCCAAAAACACTACACATTTTTATAAAATTTTTAAATGTATTTTTATTGATGTTTGAGAGAGAGAGATAGAAACACTGACGTGAGAGAGAAACATTGATTGGCTGCCTCCTGCATGCTCCCAAACAGGAATCGATCCCGCAACCCTGGCATATGACCTGACCAGGAATCGAACCGGGACCTCTCAGTCCATGGAACAGTGCTCAATCCACTGAGCCACACAGGCCAGGCAACACTATACTTTTCTTTACAAGAAATATGTGAATGTCTCAATAAAATAATAGTAAACCCAAGTCCCCATCCAGTTAAGTCTATATGTGGCTAGAATTCCCAAGAGATTTGAAAAAGGGATACAGAGCTGTAAAGTTAGAAAACTTGGGTTTGAATATTGGTTCCATCACCGACTTACTGGTCACCATTAGGAAAACCACTTGCATTTTTAGCCTTAAACTTCAGGTTAGAATATTATCTACCTCTGAAGATTGTTATGAGAACCCAGTGAGAGCATGTGTATGGTGTGAAGGGCTGAACCGATGCTGATGGTCATTATCATGCAATTTGAGAACCTGATCTTTTAAATTAAATAATATTTGCCACAAAACAAAGAGATTTCTACTCAGTGGACTTACTAGAATGTTCTGTGAGAGAGGGAAAGAGAGAGAGAGAGTGTGTGTGTGTGTGTGTGCAAAGAATCACATTTGCTGTGCTTTCTTCTGTATCAGCTAAGATAAAGTGATTGATATACATGCATTCAGGTAATAAAATCACCATTATCCATGCTTATTTTCCACCCGTGATTTTTTATGTTTTAAGGTCTACAAGACCTTGAGCTTTCAAGCTTCCTGTGCTTTCAGTTTTTGTTTTTGTTTTTATTTTCCATCGATTTCAGATAGAGTGGGAGGGTGTGGGTGGGTCTGTACTCTTGACTGGAATCAAACCTGGGACTTCAGTCCTCCAGAAGAAGCTCTAACCATTGAACAAACTGGCCAGAGCTGCTCTCGGGTTTTTCCTGAGTATCCTTACCCGCTAAGTCCTTACTCACTACTTCAAAACAACAAAACAAAACTTATTGGTTTGTCTAATTGGGAGATAATGGAGTAGAAATGGCTTTAGCTCCAGGTATTTAAAAGATGACCTTGAGATTTTGTTTCTCTCATTCTAATGCTAATATTCAGTATCTGGTGAACTTTCTCCACAACGCAGAATGGCAGGCTCCCTGAGCTCCATATTTCCGTGTCTTTTGAGCTCATGAAGCCAGGGGAGAACACCTTCTCACCCCAGGGTCCATGACAATCCTCCAAATATATTCAGACTGCTCTACTTGGGTCATACAGGCATCTACCCAGAGGCAGGGAGGCCAGGCCACAGGAGTAACAGCCCTATCAGAACCACCTAAGGTTTGGGAGGTAATTTCCCAAGGAAAGTGCAGCTGTACTCTTACCAAAAGAAGAGAGGAGAAATGTTAGGTATGAATAAATAAATAAATAAATAAATAAAAACAGATGTTCATTTCACCTGACTTCTCCATTTAATTGAATCAGAAATCCCTCTGCTCTACATGAACTTATTAACGAGCTTCAATTCCTGAAAAGAAAGACACCGACACAGATTGAAAATCTACTCTGCTATAGTCCAAGTTCCAGACGTTTTAACATTTAAAACCATGTAGGTGAATAACATCCCCCTTTTCCAGCGAAGCTAGCTGAGACTTAGATAGGCTTATTCTGTGCCTCTGATCCAACAGCCTGAAACCTGCAGAACCCAGATTCCAAGCTGGTTCTGCCCGTTTCATTCCACAACCAAAGTGCTCCATACGCTCTTTCTAGCAACCCTGACATCAGAAAGGTTTGCCTAAATTCCTGAGATGGTAAACATTATCATATTTGGATATCTGTGCTGATAAATCAGTCAGTCAATAAATATTTGTTAATTTCCCACTACCATGAGCTGATAGTATGAGTCCTGCAGGTAAAGACATCTGGCCTAGTCCCTGCCTCCACAATCGTCAGTCAAGTTGGCAAAACGAAACAAATATGCAATCAAGAAAACTTCTGAGCTAAACTACGTGGTATTTATAACATACCCTTCAGTGAGATTCATTCTATAAGTGTGGAAGGAACGGCTGGGAGAAACCAGAACAATGTGAAAATAAGGAAAGGAATGGTGATGGATGTGGTATGCACAGGGGGAATAAGGAACAGGCTAGCACTGGACACAGCACTGATATCCAGAAATCAGGGTTAACTCACAGTTTTCAGCAGCTACTGTCAAATTTTCCAAACTCTCTGGGCCAGAGTTCCTTTATTTGCAAAATGAGGAGGATGGAGTCTATAAATCTTAGCTACTCTCTCTCTCTCCATCTAATCCAGAGAATCACAAAGTTACTAATTATGGGATTCACCCAAGAAAGGAGCATGTTCAGAATACTAATTTAGGTCCAAGAATCTCTATATATTTTTATAAGTCCCACATGTGACCTGCCAGGTTTGAGAATCACTTCTTAAATGAAGGAGGGTAAGTACACATTACACAAAAGTGTGTGTGGGGGGGTGGGGGGGTGTCTTCCCAACTGAAATTCAAAAGTTCATATGGGAAAGTCATCAGAACAGGCTAATTGGAAGAAGATTAAGAGAGGCCTCGAAAGCCAAAAAGGTTCTCTGCTTTCGTAAAGCAAGGAGGCATTGTGCTGCGGAGTGAACATTGTGCATTTTTGTGAGTTGATGTGGCAGGCTTGGGCCATCACCGCTTTCAGCCACGCACCCGGGTCTGCAGACACTGACTTGTTCCTCGCTGAGGCCTTCTTTCCAAGAAGGCCCGAGTCCTTTCTCTGTTCTCCTGTAGGTTCAATGTGTAAGAACACGCATTTTGCAGTGGCCCTGGGCAGTGGAGCCCAGTGCCTCTCACCTGGGTGGGACTGCACGTACGCACAGAACCCCGGGACACTAACGATGAAAAGGCCTCGAACAAAAGCAAACAGCCATCTCTCTGTCTTTCCCGCAACGTTTTGCAAAAGGTAACTTCCAAAGAGTCCTAAAACGCTGAAACTACAGTCACTTCCGACCTCTCACCGATGAGTTAAGAAGGCAGCACTGGAGAGCTTGCTGCTCACAAGCTGCATTTATGTAGCCATTAACCCAGCACTTTGATTTTAGGGCAAAAGCGAGCCAGTGAGGCATGAGGTAAGGATGAAAGAGACCACCCACCCACCGTCCGCTTGGGGACGCCTTCTTCCTTCTGGATTGGATTTTAGGGGTTGTTTGTTTGTTTGTTTGTTTTTAAGCACTCCCTGTATTTCATCCATTATGTGAAGTGGGCTTGTAGGAAGCTTGCCGCATCCTTTGGTCCCTACGCGTCCATCTGCGTCCCTCCGAAGCAGGTCTCATTTGGCTCTCGGATCTCGGTGGCCAGGACCCGAGCAGGACTGAGGGTGGGGGTCCTCGGCTTCTCACGCGCGCTAAACGCTGGAACCCGCCCCCCGGAGGCAAAGTCGGAGTGCAGAGAACTCACCCGCTTCTCTTGCCGCCAGCACCTCCCAGCCCGGACTCAGGAAAGGAGGGAGGGAGGGAGCCCGAGGAGGGAAAGTGGGGCCGGGCGGGGGGTGCCTGGGAAGCCGGGCTGCGCTGACGTCACTGGGCGCGCAATTCGGGCTGGAACGCTTTAAAAAACGAGCGTGCGAGCGGAGATGCTGCTCCACACAGAGCAGGCGACTGCAGCAGCACCGCTCACCGCCCTGCAGCGGCTGCAGCCAGGGTCGCTCCCGAGGTCCGCGTGGCGGCAGCGGGCACGGATCGGCCCCGCGGCGCTTCTCCTCGGCGCCCCGCCGGGGGGCAGGAGCAGGGCGCCCCGCGCTGCAGAAGCCGGCTGAGCTGCAGAAGCCCGCGGAGCCGCGCCTGGCGCGCCACGGTCCGCAGCAAACCCGACGCCGCCCCGAGACCGCGTCCCGCGCGCGGCTCCCTGCCCAGGCACCATGGACACCTCCTCGGTCCGCGCGCTCCTGTCCTTGCTTGTCCTGCTGCAGCTGGCGGCCGGGGGCGGCTCGTCGAGACCCGGCACGCTGCTCCGGGGCTGCCCCGCGCACTGTCAGTGCGAGCCCGACGGCAGGATGCTGCTCAGGGTGGACTGCTCCGACCTGGGGCTCTCGGAGCTGCCCTCCAACCTCAGCGTCTTCACCTCCTACCTGTAAGTGAGCCCCCACTCCACTCCGAGATGGGGATAAGGGGGAAAAGGAGGCCAGCTCAGAACGAGGCTGGGGGCCCCTCGGCCCCCGCCTGCTCGGGAGGGGATGAGTGGGTTTGCAAAGGGCATGTTGGGCCTCGGGGAAATGCACGTGTCTCAGCGGGTAGCATGACCGCACTTTCTGGGCCCGCAGAGAAACGACTTCAAGTGCACCCCGGGGAAGCACTGTGCGCCGCAGCTTCCCGGCCCGGCTCTGGGCAAGTCGCAGAGCGAATTCCTCCGAGTGTAGGCATTTGCCTGCAGTGTGGGCATTCGTGCCCCTGAGCCTGGAACCCAAGGGCGGGCCGCCCGCTTGGTCCCTGCCCCAGCCTCCCCTCCTCTCCGAGTCCTGTCACGTTTCATGAAGAGATGGTCTGTAAAAAGTTTCCCCAAAGGAGAACTCCAACTAGCCCAGCTACAAAGGAGCTTACTCTGCATCTCTTGCACGGTCGTGTAATGTAACATTTTTTTTGTTTCTTTTATCCTTTTTTTTTTTTTTTTAAATGGAGTGATTAAAATGTGGCAACCACAAACCCCGATTAGAGCTGCCAGAACGTTATCTTTACCTTTGGCTGCCCGGGCCGCCTTTGAAGTGCCGGCCGCCACGGTGTAATCTTTAACCATCTCCTCCTCCCGGGAGGAAAAGGGAAGTGGGCTGAAGGCGGCGGGGCTGGTAAACAGTGGCGCAGACACCCCAGCGGAGACCTGAAGCTCTCTGTCATCCCTTGGAGATCCTCTCACCCCCTGCTCCCCCCAACACAACCTCCAAAGCTCCAACCGCGAAGAGGAGGCAGCGGTTCATTTCATAATCTTGTCTCTGGAAAAGCCAGGCCCGGAGGGTAACAGGTGGTTGGGTAGATGAGGGGACCAAGGCGACTACTCCCCCTCCCCCTAAGGAGACTCTGGAGCTTGGTTCCTTAAGACAGAGACCAAGGTCGAGGCCACTCTGGAAAAGGGGCACTGGTAACTGCAAGGTGACACGTTTCGGTTTTCATCTGAGCCCACCCCAAACCCACGCGATCTTAGTTTGGGCTTCTCTAATGTACCTTGGCAGAAGCAGGTTGGGATGTTTGTGAACTCATTCTTTCCTCTGTTTAGTTGTTTTCTGGAGGGAAGAAACATGAAAAGGCTTGCACAACGCCTTCCACTAAATAGTGATTCTTTTTCTGGAGACAGAATGAGGGGGAAAAAAAAATTTTTTTTTTTTTTTTACTTGTTTAATATGCATTCAAAGATATGGACCATGCTGCTAGATTTTGGTATCAGTGGCAATCCCATCCTCATGTGCCTTTAAACTGTTTTAACTTCTTTTCTTTACCTGAAAGGATTATAAAATTATCCACTTCCCCACCAGATCTCCCTTCAATTGCACACATTGCCTGTGGCAGTGATATTTTCAAAAGGATAGAAATCTACTCTCCTACGTGATCATTCTCTAAGAATTCATTTTCTCCCCCTAAATAGCTGTTTACACTACAGAGTGAAATGCTCATCCCTAAACTCTCTGCTTTAACTGCTAAACCCAGGGTTTCAAGCTTCGTGTGTTCTCCTGTGGAGTGAATTCCTGAGAGTCGTGTGGCAGTTTCACTTAAGAGCCTAGAACTATTCTTTGCCATCACCCTGAAGAAACTGACTATATACAAGATAAGTGTGCAAACCACCCCAGCACTCACCTATTAAAATCATACACTCATTTAAAAACATGTTTAAGAATATAGAAAGTAAATGTATGAATAGTGCCAAGATGCTTTTTCCCCCCACTTGAAAGAACGAACATTTGTTAGGCTTCTGTTACTAAAAGTTGGCATGAAATGCTGCCTCAAATCATTTCCCACATACCGCAATTGCATTTAACTGCATCCTCCATGTGCTCAGGAGATCTTGCTGCCACTGTTCACTATCTATCGTTATAGATAACTCCTTGGAGCTGAAGTACCATTAGGAAATTGTCATCTTCTCATACTGTTTGATGACAGTCTGTACCCTGGCCTAAGGGGAAGTTTTCTTAAACTCGGAGTGTCTATGAAAAGTGTCACAGTGATTTTTAAATACTTGCTTCTAATGGCTAACATTTCACGGGGTTTGAGTGCACAATGTAAAAATCAGTCCTAAGTAAATAACTCAACTGATGTTCTTCTTAATACGCAATTTCAGACTTTGGTCTCCTTGTAGAGTACAAATGCCAGGACCCATGGGATGCCCTTACTTCATGGGTTGAGGGTTTGGGGGTTTTCTGTGTTTTTGTTTTTACAACCATGGGAAATCTGTGCAGACATTAAGGGTAGATGGTGCCCTCTTTTGGTTACACCTAGAATTATCTAACCATTTCTACCTTCACTTGTACACTCGTAACCTAAAAGAAGAATTTTTGTTTACTCATATTCAAATTAAATAATTATGTATCTTACTGTTTTTCTTATTTTAAGACTAAAAAAACAGAACACTAAGTTACAGCCCCCACGCCACTGTGGCCTGATGGTAATTAAGCTTTGGTGAGAAAGTTGCAGTGTGTAATGATTCGTGGGTAAAAGGCCAGTCTACTATCTTTTTTTGTTTGTAGTAGGTTATCACCATTTATTTGAGTCAAAATGTTATCTCTTAATCTTCCTCCCATCCCCACAAAAGAACAAGCATTTCATTTTCTTCAAATAGATTGATGATGGCAAGTCTCAGCGGCACACATTTGGCAAATAGATTTTGTCACAATCTGAGAACTGGTTAGTCAGACTCCTAGGTAAAGAAAGTTTCCTGACTCTCTTCATAGAAGGCTAGAGCTATTTATGTGCAGTTTTATAGTCTTTCTTTATTCCCCAGAAAAGCTAAATCTTAAGCCAACATTAATAGTAACTCTCTTTTCTTTCTGAATTGCATTGCCCAGTAGATCTGTAATTGGACCATGGAACATGGTGGAAACACTGGAAAATCTGTCTTAATCCTCTCTCTCTCTCTCTCTCTCTCTCTCTCTCTCAGTCGTTATGAGCTCTGATTTTACAAAAGGGGCCAATAAAGCTCACTCAGCAGAAAATAAGAAAAACACCAAGGTTGAGACAAAGCAGACAATAATTGACAGTGTTTAATACATCTCAATTTACCAGTCATGATTTATCAGAAATAAAGTAGCTCTAGCTTCTAATCTTATTATAGGTGAGTTATCTTAATGTACCAAATGTGAACATTTTGAAAATGTGTTTAAATAAGCTCTTGACTATAAGCTCCTCTGTTACTTTGATGTGTCTTTCATCCAGTTAGTGTAGCATCCAAATAGAAAACTAAATCCTATTGAACATCCTAATATAGTAAATATACTTTTTTTATTGATTTACAACAGCCATTTTATTTTTAAATAAAAACAGTGTTTTTTCTTGCTGTTGCTTAAGGACATGAACATTTCATCCACAAGCAAATTTGTGTCACATGAACCAAAGGAACCGAAGAAAGATTTGTTTTTTAATTTAATGAATGTAGATTGGTTACTTTTCCATATGTAACTCTGGAACAAAATTTAATTTTGCACACAATTAGTAAAACTGGTATTAATAAGAACCTGTCAAAAAGAACCTGCTAAATTAAGTATGGCCCTGGTGTCATACATGTGTTTTAAACATTGAAAGTACAGTTTCAATATTTAAAAAAAATTTTTTAAATCTTTGAAAATGGTTTCCTGTATTTCTGCTTCCCTTCAAGCAAAGTATTTTAAATAAATGAAAATGTTTGTACTTTAGCAATAGTTACAGAAGCTTTAACTGTATAACAGCCTTAACATTTATATCAATGTCAAAATTATAGGATCATCTACAGCCTACTTTTTTGAAATTCATTAAAAATATATTGATGCCAATGACTTTTCTCTATTTTAATCAAGTTGTCTCTTTTTCTCCAGGATTCCCAGGGTTTCTTTTGTTTGTTTGTTTTTTGGGGTTTTTTTTACTGTTTTCATTATGGAAGCAATTATTGAAACTAATTGACTAAAGTAGTCTGAGTGATTTTTTTTTTTTTTTTTGAAGTTGTAGCTCTGATTCAAACAAGATTTAAAATAAATATTTTACTGACTATGTTCCTCATATGCATGGTAGAGTTTATGTGACAAGAATAAATTTTTACATACAATTCAATATGATCTTCAATCTTTTTCCTTCTTATTAGTTTTCTTCAAAGTAAAGGAGTTCTGATAGGCAACGAAAGGTAGCAATCAGAAATGAGTTATAAGATTGGAATAAAAAAAAACCTTTGTAGTTAAAGAAAGCAATTTTTTTATAATGGGAGCATTTCCACTTGGATGTATTTAAAGAAGTTCAGAAACACTAAAATGGTCTATGATTTGTCATAGTTAAGTTGTATTAATCAGAACTATTTGATTGTTTTTATTTCTAAAACAAAAGCATAAGACTAATAACCAACTAAGCAATTATTAACCCAATAAACCTATCATTTAAAAATTAAAGACACTGCAGAATATTTATGCTTTTATAACTGATACTTAATATCTACCCACTTTAGAAAAAGCATTTTTATATTTCTTCTATTAAATTCATACATTTAAGTCATTTTAGCTATAAGTTTAAGTATGTTTCCAATTAATCCAGATCACATGCCAAAAGAGAGAAATGAAAAACAGACCCTGGCCGGGTGGCTTAGTTGGTTAGAGTGTCATCCCATATTCCGAAAGGTGGTGGGTTCGATTCCTGTCAGGGCATATACCTAGGTTGCGGGTTCCATCCTCATTCGGGGCAAGTAATGGGAGGCAACCGATGGATGTTTTTCTCTCATATCGATGCCTCTCTCTCAAATCAATTTTTTAAAATAAATTTTATAAAAAGAAAACAGCAGTGAAGTAATTCTTTTGGTTTTGTTTGGTTATTTATATGAATTTAAAATAACACTAAGTGGCACTTTTACTTGTAAACAGCCCACAGTAGATATTTCTGGGAAATGGAATTTTTCTTGAGAAGGCAAAGTCCTTTCTT